CCAGGAGATGAGTTAACTCTCCCAGAAAGTGTGAGCTTAGATCCACCATTGAAGACTGAATTCTGGACTGGCTGGCTCTCTGGTATTTCATAGATTTTTCACATTTTTTCTTAGTTTACCAAGTTCCAGCTCAGGTCTCAGTTTCCCTTTCTGCAAGATGATAGACCAGATTGGTAATTTGCAAACTGTGCGCTTCAAGAGGTTTCAAAGTGTTTGATCCAAATTTCATTATAAGTATATATTTTATCAATTTCATTTCCACAATATTATTGAAAAAAAATTCTGAATTGATTATGTTACAAAAGCATATACAGGGATAAGACCCAAAGTTGAACGTGTTTGAAGCTGTCAGCATGTTAATGTGCCCTCATTGAGAGAATGTATACCATACAAAGGACGAATTTTTCCAAATTCGAACTACACAATACATTGGAGGCAAGAAAATATCACTTTTGTTTCTTTTTCATATAGGGATTCCGTGTAAGATTTAATATTCGTATTTTCAAAGGTGGATTCTGAAGGGTGGAAGTCTCTCATATTCATGAGAGACACGGAGAGAGAGGCAGAGGGAGAAGCAGGCTCCCTGCGGGGAGCCCGATGCAGGACTCGATCCTGGGACCCTGGGATCACGCCCTGAGCCAAAGGCAGATGCTCAACCACTGAGCCACCCCGGTGCCCCTGGGGTCCCCCTTTTACCTATAACTGAGCTGTGCCACCTCACATAGAATCTTCCTGCTCTGGTGTGCACACTGCAGATTCCTGCCTCAGGAATGAGACTAATGGAGCCTGCCCCAGCTCGACACCATTCCTCCCTCTGCCCTGTTTAGCCAATTCACACCCAGACAGAGGGTCCAGCTCAAGCCTTACCTCTGGAAAGTACCACCCAGTTTGCCTGATTCGTGGGGCTCCCCCACCTCGCCAGTCCACTGTAGCACTGGTCATACTAGGAAGCCTGTTGGTGCAAAGACCCAGAAGTGTGCTAGAGGAAGTGCAAATGTTCAGGAGAGCTCCTGGATAGGGTAGGGAGGCAGAAGCAGGGGAGCGGTGTAGGGTGGAATAATGGTTTTGTTTAGACTTACCCTAGGGTACTAAGAAGCATGGAAGGGCCCCGGGTATGGCTTGATCAGATTGGCATTTGAGAAAGGTCACCGCACTTCAAATAGCTGACTGGGGCCGACTGGGTCAAATCTAAGGCTTGGGAGAGCAGAAAAGAGGCTGCTTCTAGAGGGCAGGTGAGAGGTGGTGACCTGGGGTCACCTGCTGCAAGGGAGAAATATGAGTCGGGAGACACTCGGTGACCGCTTAGATATTGTGGCTGTGAACTTGGATGTCAGACTTAAAAGTCAGCAATTTTTAGATGCATTTTGAAAAAAGAGACTATTTTTAGAGCAGCTTGAGGTTTACAAAAAATTGAATGGAAAGTACAGAGTTCCCATATATGGCCCTCTCTCCACCCTCTCCCTGTCCCCCAGTTTCTCCTATTATTAATGTCTTGCATTAGCGTGGGGTCTTTTTTTTTCATTATGGATAAGCCAATATCAAGAACTCATCATTAACAAAAGTTCATAATTTACCTTAGGGCTCACTCTTTGTGCTGCACTGTCCTCTGCATTCTGACACATACGTCATGTCACGTATCCAACATTACAGAATTAGAAGAGTTTCCCTGCCCTAAAAATCCTCTGTGCTCCACTTATTCTTCACTCCCTTCCTCCTAACCCTTGGCAACCACTGGTCTTTTTACTGTCTCTAGAGTTTAGCCCCCACCAAAATGACATATAATTGGAATCATGTCATATGTAGCCTTTTCACGTTGGCTTCTTTCACTTAGTATATAATCATTTAAAGGTCCTCCACGTCTTTTCATGGCTTGATCCTTTCTTTTTATTGCTGAATAACATCACCTTATAAGGATGGATCACAAGTTATTTATGTACTTACCTACTGAAGGACATCTTAGTTGCTTCCAAGTTTTGGCAAGCCGGGTGCAGGTTTTTGTGTGAACATAAGTTTCTAATTCCTTGGGGTAAGTACCAAGGAGTGTGACTCTGGATCATATGGTAGTTTTGTAAGAAACTGCCATGCTGTCTTCCAAAATGACTGTCTCATCTAATGTCCCCATGTGCATGCATGAGAGCTACTGTTGCTCACCGTCCTCCCCAGCATTTGGCATTGTCAGTGTTCTGGATTTGTGCCATTATTACAACTATGTAGTGGTATCTTATTGTTTTTGTTTTTTAAGTGTTATTCATTTAAGTAATCTCTACACCCAACATGGGACTCAAACTCACAACCCTGAGATCAAAAGTCACATGCTCCATGGACTGAGCCAGCCAGGCACCCCAGTTATCTTGTTGTTTTAATTTGTAATTTGCTGATGACACATGATGTGGAACATCTTTCCTACCCTTATTAGTCATCTTGATATCTTCTTTGGTGGGGTGTCTATTCATATCTTTTGGCCACATTTTAACTGGGTTGTTTTCTTATTGTCAAATTTTACGAGTTCTTTAGATTCTTTTTTATTGTTTACTTAGGGTGGGCCTTCTCTCTCCCCATGATATCTCAATTCTAAATCTCACTTGTGATCTTTCTTCCTGCAGATAAACAACTCAACATCAGAGAAGCAGGCTCTTTGCCTGGCAGTGAAGAAAGGATGTTGTTAGAGCAGACAGGGAAATACAAAACATATTCTGAATACTTGACTACTTGGTTAAAGGTACCAAGTTTGATAAAGACACACACACATGCACACCACACTCTTTCAACTGTAGATTTACACAGACAGTGGGAAATGTGAATGCTGGGTAGTGTATTTTTGTAGTCAAATGGGAAAAATAATGTATTCTTCAGGCTATAGAAGAATCACCTGAGTTGTTGCAAGCATATTCTTCTGCCATTGAAGTGGAGTGTAGGTGTGGTGTCTAAAGATGATGTTTCTCCTAATTGGATGGGGGCCCTAAATGTGGCCATGATCCATCGGGTGGAAGCCAGTGGTACAGGAAGTGAAAAGATTCACCTGAGGCAGAACAAAGGAAATAGAAGTTTACTGAATATGCTACAAGGGAGCAATGAGCAGGACAGTACAGGAGAGGCTGTTTGCAAGGAGGTGGTAAGTGGGGGCTGACTTAAAGGGTGAAGGTGAGGGGGTACGGTGACGTATGGAATATTCTCTTTTTTTGATAACTGTGCCTGGCTGTAAGAAAGTAGTCCATTGGACAGGGAGGGCTTATGGATATTTTGAGGTGGTCAACCTGAGGGGCCAGTCTGTATTCTGTCAGGTGGTCCCTGTGGGTCCTTTCTGCGTTCCATTGCTCAAGCCTGTTAGTCTGAAAGCAGCCTTTACACAGAGATCTGATTGAACTAGTAAAGTACTTTAGGGATCAAACCCAGAATGGTAGATTGAATGGAACCCTTTAAAGGCTATTTTATTTTAACGGGATGTAGGAGCTATTGAGGGTTATTGAGCAGGAGTGGAAAAGGATCAGGCTTCTGGCTTCCATAGCCTATGCTGATGACACAGTAATTATGCAGTCCCTGAAACGTCAACAGGGTTAAAAAACAAATTGGAGCCTAAATGCTCCATCTTAGGAATTCTTCAAATTGCCCCCCTTACTCTCTTTATAAATTGGGGTTCTTTCCCCAAAAGTTGATGTGAGGATGATATGAGATAGTATGTAAAGTACCTAGCATTATTTCATTTAATTTTTAAAACCACCCTTCCTCATTTATTTCTCATGACTCCTTTGATTACTTTGTTTCATTTAATTCCCATACCTCCTTGGAACTCTGGGGTGTGAAGGACTAGCTCCCAGGGCTGCTTTATCAGGCTCTCACCTCCAGGCTTTTCTGATTTGGTGTATCACTGATGACAATCATGATGGTAAAAACTTCTATGACAGGACAGGCAACTCGTTAAGTGTTGCACATGCATCATCTCACTTGAATCCCATGAAATTATTAATATTCCCATTTAGTTGATAGGAACATTGAGATTCAGTGTACTTTGCCCAAGGTCACGCAGCAGTTAAAAGAGGCAAGGCCTGCATTCAAACCCTGACTTACCTCGTGCTAGCGCCTGTTCTTAACCATTAACTATACATGGACCTTTTATGTGAGATCTGCTCCCTGGGCAGCTTTCCGAGCGCTTTGTCGGGACTTGTATTGGAGTACTGACAGCATAGCACTGGAATCAGGCTTCCCAGTCTGTCTCTCCCACTAGACTGAGTCTCTGAGGGCCAAGAAATTGTGTGTCACCTTTGCTGCCCCAGCTCCTTGCACTGCGCGTGGCACACACTGGGCTCTTCATTCGTTCTTTCTGCAAACACTTAATGGAGTGTTTGCTATGAACCATGTGCTACACTATCGTTAGGGAAATGTGACTGTCTTGCCAACGAAGACCCCTTTGGTACCAATACAGAGAGAATGTAATTTTTTAAAAGACTTTATTTCTGTACTTAAGAGAGGCACATGAGAGAGAGGCAGAGACATAGGCAGAGGGAGAAGCAGGCTCCCTGTGGGGAGCTGGATGCGGGACTCCATCCCAGGACCCCGGGATCACCCCCTGGGCCCAAGGCAGGTGCTCAACCCCTGAGCCACCCAGGCTACCCGAGAGAATATAATTTTAACATGGGGTAACCATCATCATAGTTACGTACACGTAAGGCACAGGCACGAGAAACTGCCAAACACGGACAGGGTTTTACACAGATTCACAGAGAGAAGAAAACAACAATTAAAACTTCTTTCTCAAGAATAAGACTAGAGGAGGAGGCCCGGGTGGCTCAGCGGTTGGGCTGCTGCCTTCAGCCCAGGGCCTGCCTGATCCTGGGATCCAGGATGGAGTCCCACGTCGGGCTCCCTGCATGGAGCCTGCTTCTCCCTCTGCCCGTGTCTCTACCTCTCTCTCTCAGTCTGTGTCTCTCATGAATAAATATTCTTAAAAAAACAAAAAAAAACAAACAAAAAAACAAGACCAGAGGATGCACCTGGTGACCTACCCGTATATTTCTGGTGAGCAACAAATTTCCCTTGAGCTACTTCCCGAGGTCACGTTTACAGCTCCACGGGTCAGCAGACCCACCAACTGGCAGCGCAGCAGAGAGCCCTTTTGTCGGGCTCATTAAATGGTCCAGGTGACCCCTGTCCAGGTGACGGGCTAGGCAGGCAGCCGCATCCCTCCGGAAGGAAGACTGCGTTGCTGCCAACTGGCGCCGGTGACCGGGGCTGCGGCTCCCTCGGCGCTTACGCGGATACAACTTCAGGCCACGGGCAGTGGGTTAAACCCTCCACGAGCGGCGATCTCGAGCTGGAATTTTGCGACTTTAATGAATGTTTAAAGAACGAATGAATGACGGATGACCATCGAGCTGGCGGTTACCAAGAAGCTAAAGAACGTCGCTGGCGTCAGGATCGCAATGAAAAGGAGGAAGGGGAAAGCAGCGCTGAGGGCGCCCCAGGACGGTGCTTTCGCAGCCCCGAAGAGGAGAGCGGAGCACCCCGACCCGCTTCCGCCGCTCGCCGCCGCCGAAGCGCAGGCAGGGCGGGCCGGGGGCGGGGCCGCGGCCGGGGGCGGGGGCGGGGGCGGGGCCGGGGCCGGGGGCGGGGCCGCGGCCGGGGGCGGGGCCGCGGCCGGGGGCGGGGCTACGGAGGCCGAGCCGGCTGCGAGGCGAGGCGTCCGGCCGAGGAAGTGTGCGCAGGCCTGCGGCGCTGGGCGGGCCCGGGCCCTCCCACGCTGACCCCGCGGTGCTCCCCCCCGCGCCCGCCCTTATATCCGCCCCTCGCCGCCCTTCCCGCGGCGGAGGCGCGGGCTTCTGGGCGCTTGGCGGCTTCTGCGGGTCGGCGGCGTGAGGGCCTCCCTGCGGCGTGTTGTCCGCGCCGCCGGCCCCTTGCGCGCCCGCCCTCCCTGCCGGCTGTCGTGGGGGGTCTGCGCCCGGGCCGAGCTCCCGCTCGCGTTGCCCCGCCGGCCGGGGAGCCCCGCACCGCTTCGACGGCGGCTTCGCCGGACCCGCGGGCCGGGTCGCAGCCCGCGCCGCAAGCGCACGGCGTCATGAGGCACCTGCCGTACTTCTGCCGCGGCCAGGTGGTGCGGGGCTTCGGCCGCGGCTCCAAGCAGCTGGGCATCCCCACAGGTGAGCGCGGGAGGTCGCGGGGCTCCCCTCCCCGCCCCGGGCACCCCCACTCCCCGGGAACCCCCTCCGCCCCGGGCACACTGGGCTCTTCATTCGTTCTTTCTGCAAACACTTAATGGAGTTGTTTGGTGGTCCCCGGGCACCCCCCCTCGTCGGGCACCCCCCTCCCTGGGCACCCCCCCTCGCCGGGCACCGCCTCCCCTCCCCGGGCACCCCCCTCGTCGGGCACCCCTCCCTCTCCCCGGGCACACCCCCTCCCCGGGTACCCCCCCTCGCGGGGCACCCCTCCCCTCCCTGGGCACCCCCCCTCGTCGGGCACCCCTCCCTCTCCCCGGGCACCCCCCTCGTCGGGCACCCCTCCCTCTCCCCGGGCACACCCCCTCCCCGGGTACCCCCCTCGCGGGCACCCCTCCCCTCGCCGGGCACCCCTCCCCTCCCTCGGGCACCCCCCCTCGTCCGGGCACCCCCTCGGGCCCCTCCCTCCCCGGGCACCCCCCTCGTCGGGCACCCCTCCCTCTCCCCGGGCACACCCCCCTCCCCGGGTACCCCCCCTCGCCGGGCACCCCTCCCCTCCCTGGGCACCCCCCCCTCGTCGGGCACCCCTCCCTCTCCCCGGGCACACCCCCTCCCCGGGTACCCCCCCTCGCCGGGCACCCCTCCCCTCCCTGGGCACCCCCCCTCGTCGGGCACCCCTCCCCTCTCCCCCGGGCACACCCCCTCCCCGGGTACCCCCCCTCGCCGGGCACCCCTCCCCTCCCTGGGCACCCCCCCTCGTCGGGCACCCCTCCCTCTCCCCGGGCACCCCCCTCGTCGGGCACCCCTCCCTCTCCCCGGGCACACCCCCTCCCCGGGTACCCCCCCTCGCGGGGCACCCCTCCCCTCCCTGGGCACCCCCCCCTCGTCGGGCACCCCTCCCCCTCCCCGGGCACCCCCCTCGTCGGGCACCCCTCCCCTCCCCGGGCACACCCCCTCCCGGGTACCCCCCCTCGCCGGGCACCCCTCCCCTCCCCTGGGCACCCCCCCTCCGGGCACCCCTCCCGGGTACCCCCTCGCGGCACCCCTCCCCTCCCGGGCACCCCCCCTCGTCGGGCACCCCTCCCTCTCCCCGGGCACACCCCCTCCCCGGGTACCCCCCCTCGCCGGGCACCCCTCCCCTCTCTGGGCACCCCCCCCCCGCCCCGGCTTCCGGGGTTGGGTCAGGTGAGAGCGGGGACGTCAGCCCGGGGACTTGGGGCCGCGGGCAGAGGTGACCCCTCCCCTCCGCGGGCTTCCTGCTCGGACGAGGCGGAGGACCTTTGGTCGGATGGAGGAAGCTCGTCCTTACCCGCGGCTCGGTGCTCGGCGGGGACCGGGCTTGAGGGGTGGTGAGGACGGAAAGCCGAGCCGAGTTTGGGGGTCCCCCTCTCCCGCCTCCCTCTGCAGCGCAGCTAGAGCTGCCAGGCGTGGCACGGGTCACCCCCATCAGGAAACGTAATGTGAACCAGATTGGTTAAATTTCCAAGCCAACTGTAAGGGTTTTTTGTTCTCTTTAAGTGCCTTGTTAGCAATTGGCTGAGAATCGGGTATCCTTTTTGTTCCATCTACTTTAGTTTCGGTGGTCAGGACCTGACTGTATGATTCATCCTTAAAAGTACACACCAGGGTTGCCCCCGGTCTTTGAGCCACATCTACTTTGAAAATAAGAATCAGGAGATTCTGAATCTCCTTAAGAAAGGCCAGGTCTAAAACATCCTCAGCTGTTCCCGCACCTGTTTTCATCTACCTCAAGAGTGTGTTTACGTGTTTTTTTGTTTTTTGTTTTTTTTTTGGAGGGCTTTGTAAGCTTAATTGTTCTTAAGCTATCTGCATGAAGGGGGGGGGGGGATATCCAAGCCAGACTATATAGAGTGGTGGGATTGATAGGCAGGCAGGGTTCCAGGAAACTTATGAATATAATGATTTACACTGGCCTTGCATGCGATTTTTATAAACATTTGCTATGAAACTGTTAACACTCAGAATATTTATTTCTGTTGTTTAGCTAATTTTCCAGAACAAGTAGTTGATAATCTTCCAGCTGATGTATCCACTGGCATTTATTATGGTTGGGCCAGTGTTGGAAGTGGAGATGTTCATAAGATGGTGGTGAGCATAGGATGGAACCCATACTACAAGAATACAAAAAAGTCTATGGTAAGAATTCTGTTAAGCTCAGTCACTGCAAATGGGTTAATAACTTAAGGTAATATTCAGTATTAGATGCATGTAGAATTCATCAGTGGTGGCTCAAAACTTAGTCCAAATCACTAGAATTTTTGGCGGTTTTCTTGAAGGCTTTTTCAAGTGAAGTGTTGAGTTACTCTTTGGCTGGATTAACTTTTAATCCTTTCACTTTCATTCTATTTGTGTCTTTGGATCTAAAGTGAATTTTACAAAGTAAGGTGAGTCTCTTGTAAAAGAGATTGTGGGATTATCCCATTATAATGGGATTGTGTTTGTTGATCATTCTGTTAATTTCTGCCTTTTCATTGGAGAATTCAGTCTATTTACATTTAAGCTAATGACAAGGAGGGACTTCTGCCATTTTGCTGTTTTCTATGTGCCTTACAGCTTTTTTTGTCTGTTATTTCTTCCATCATTGCCTTTTTAATTTTTTTTAAAGATTTTATTTATTTATTCATGAGAGAGAGAGAGAGAGGGGGGCAGAGACACAGGCAGAGAGAGAAGCAGGCTCCATGCAGGGAGCCTGACGTGGGACTCGATCCTGGGACTCCAGGATCACGCCCTGGGCCAAAGGCAGTGCTAAAACCCCTGAGCCACCCGGGCTGCCCGCCTTTTTAATTTTTTTTTTTTTTTTTGTAGTGACCTATTTTGATTCTCTTATTTCCTTTTGTGTACTTTCTATTGATTTGTGTGTGTGTGTGTGGTTACTGTGAGGAGTGTTTTTAACATCCTACAGTTATAAAATCAAATATGAATTTTTGACAATTTTAATAGTACATAAAAACTCACAAACTACATCTTTATACATTGTGTGCCCAATAACATAACAGTAATGATTTTTATGTTTTGCTTTTAAATCATGTAGAAAATAAATAAAAAGTGGAGTTTTAAGCCAAAATTGGAATATTTTTATAGCTGTCCATGTGTTATATCTCTTCTGGGAGATAAAAGTGAATTACTTGGGGTGCCTGAGTGGCTTAGTTAACCATCCAGACTTGATTTTGGCTCAGAGTGTGATCGAGCCCCTTAGCTCTGCTGGACACGGAGCCTACTTGATTCTCTCCCTCTCACTCTCCCTCTGTGCCTCCCTTAAAGTGAGTTACTTAACAGCATGTTTGATAAAATTGAGCTTGCTCCAGTTAATATAAAACATTCACCCTTTAATTACTTGTGTACCCTGCTAAGATAGAACTCCTTACTACACAGATGGTGCTTTCTGATAAAATTGTGAAGTGCTGTTTTTCTTTTTTTTTTTTACCCCCAAACTACTTTGAGGGTGTACCCTTCTGCTCATTTCACAGTACCCATACCACTTTAGAGCCTAATCTGCTAAATGGAGCTGGATCTTGGTCAGGCCAAGTGTGACAAAAACAGAGTCGATCTAAATTTTGTCTTTGAAGAATTATAGAAGTGTGTCACAGTTGGAAGACCATAGGGCTGAGTGCTGGTACAACACTAGAAATGGCCAAGAATTGCTTAACACTGCTCAGTATTTCTTATGTTTGAGTATTAAGGATGTACGATTATTAGGAGTAGACAAGGAAAAGAACTAATGAAAACACAAAATAGTTTTCTGTAGATGGGGAGGAAGGAATTGAAGAGGAGGGAAGGCCATTCCATGACAAATTTCAGATAACAGGACTGTTACTGTTGTAAACCAGTGAAGGAATGCCTTGGAAGTCCTTCCAGAGCTAGAAGAATCTCAATTTTTCATTGGTAGGAGGTTCATACTTTTCAGGTTTTCTTTCTCCTTTTCTTGCCAATTATGATGTGCCTGGTTGCCTGGTTAGGTGTTTTCCCCCCTTTAAAAAAACATTGGATTGGGTGTCTTAATTAATTTAAAAGAAGTTCTTAATATGTTCTAGATCCCATTCTTCTGTTGGAATATGTATTGCGCAAGTATTGTCACCTGCTGTGTTGCCTTTTTTTTTTTTTCTTTCGTAAGATTTTATTTCTTCATGAGAGACACAGAGAGAGAGAGGCAGAGGGAGAAGCAGGCTCCCTGTGGGGAGCCTGATGTGGGTGGGACTCGATCCCAGGACCCTGGGATCACAACTTGAGCCAAAGGCAGACGCCCAACTACTGAGCCACCCAGGTGCCCCAGTTTTGTTTTGTTTTTTTATTTTAAATGGAAATTTTATTTGTGTCTTTCGAAGAACAGAAGTTCGTAATGCCAATATATCTAATCCATCATTTCTCTTTTATGGTTAGTGCCTTTTATAGCCTATTTAAGAAATCTTTGTCTACTCATAAAGATACTCATCTTTGTTTTCTCCTAAAAACTTAACTGTCAATAAACTTTCCTCATCAAATTGATTTTTGAGTATGGTGCAAGGTGTAGAGGTCAAAATTAATTTTTTCCCACATGGTTATGGGCTTAGCCCATTTATTGAAATATTATTCTTTCATGACAGCACTGTATTGTCATCTTGGTCATAAATCCTATGACTTTCTATGTGTGAGAGTCCAAAGTGTGCTCATACAGATTTGGTCTCCTAGTCTGTCTTTGGGCCATTGTCTTTATTTTCATAGCTTTTATAGTAGATCTTGGTATCTGTGTAAGTGCTCTACTTTTATTTTCAAGATTTTGAGGGGATAATTTCAACCTTCCACATTATGGATTTTAGAATCACTTGACAGTTTCCATTGTTTAAAAAAAAGGTAGGATTTTGACAAGGGTGGCTTGGAATATATAGATCAATTTAGGGACAGTAGACCTCTTTACCATTTTTCTCGGTAATGTTTTATAATCAGTTTTAAATATCACTTCATCTTAGATTTTCTTAAATCATCCACAAAAGTTTCAAGTTTCTGGATTGTTCAAACTTGTTAATCTCCAGTGCCACCATCCCGGTCCAGTCTCAACTGTCTTCTGTCTTTGTTCTCTTAATTGGCTTTCTTGTTTGTGGACTTAGGTTTCTGTATGAGAATCTACTAATATTCTGATTGCAGAACATCTTCTACCTCCTCCACCAATTTGCTTCAACATGTCCTGTACTCATTTGTCAGCCTTGTTCCTTGGTCAGGATCCTACATTGGCTCTTGTGCCCCCATTCAGTCTTCAGCTCTGCCTGACTCTCAGAGGTTTCTATAATGTGGTGTGTGTCAGAGACATATGGATCCTGGTTAACCTTAGAAATGGTTCTTTCAGGGATCCCTGGGTGGCCCAGTGGTTTAGCGCCTGCCTTTTTTTTTTTAATTTTTATTTATTTATGATAGAGAGAGAGAGAGAGAGGCAGAGACATAGGCAGAGGGAGAAGCAGGCTCCATGCACCGGGAGCCCGACGTGGGATTTGATCCCGGGTCTCCAGGATCGTGCCCTGGGCCAAAGGCAGGCGCCAAACTGCTGCGCCACCCAGGGATCCCTAGCACCTGCCTTTGGTCCAGGGTGTGATCCTGGAGTCCCGGGATCGAATCCCACGTTGGGCTCCCTGCATGGAGCCTGCTTCTCCCTCTGCCTGTGTCTCTGCCTCTCTCTCTCTCTCTCTGTGTGTGTCTCTCATGAATAAATAAATAAAATCTTTAAAAAAAAAGAAATGGCTCTTTCAATAGGAACGTCTCTTAATGTTTTACTCCTTACTTGGTGGTGTCTTGACTCAGGTGTTTTTTGGCTTTTTTTTTTTTTTTTTTTTGGCCTTGATGAGACTTATTCTGCATGTTCGTTTAAGTATTTTATCTTTAAGTAATCTCTGCACCCAGTGTGGTCCTTGAACTCACAACCCTGAGATTAAGATTCATGCTCCACTGACTGAGCCAGCCAGGTGCCCCTGCATGCTAGTTTTTTTGTTTTTGCTTTTAATAAATGGCAAATCATACCAGATTTGTGGCATAACATCTGCTTTACTCAGTTAAATGTTTACATAAGATCGGGCAGGAGCAGGACTCATGAAAGAATTAAGGAAAAACTGTACTTAGATTTTCACCGGTCTTTTAAATTTAGTAAGGGTTGATTGTTTTATTTAAATTGGCCCTGCCATAAATATGGAGATATATTTCAAATTTCAGGTATTTTGTAATCTGATGGAAATCTTTTTTAACATTTCTTAATTCTAGGAAACCCATATCATACATACGTTCAAAGAAGACTTTTATGGGGAAATCCTCAATGTAGCCATTGTTGGCTACCTCAGACCAGAAAAGAACTTTGATTCTTTAGGTAAGTTCTGTTTAGGTCTTCCTTAAGTATTACTTCAGCTACTTCTGCTGCTTCTCCTAGTAACAACATGGCAGGAGAGAGAATAGTTGAGCATTTACTATGTGCCAAGCACTGTTTTAGGTGCCTTACGTGCGTGAAGTCCTTTCACCCCCACCGAAACGTATGAGGAATTATTCTATTTCACAGATGAGGAAATTGGCAGAGAGGGGTTAAGTAATTTGCCCAGTTTGTGATGGAGCCTAGGTTCAAACCCAGCAGGTTGGCTGCTTCTCTCCCTCCCAACAGTGTGAAGTTAGTGAAATCTCTATTTCCTTTTCATATATTAAGGAATAAGCGAGAATGAATGCCCAGGTGAATAATGGATGCTTTGCAATGCTTGAAGTGTAAGAAACTAAATCAATACTTGAAACTAATGGTATCAAGTATGTTAGTATAGTGTGGTGGTTTTAATTCTACTGTAGGGTTTACTTGATAAATGTGAGTACCAAAGAGGCTTGATTGTGAGTATTTCTTCATTTGTTATTTGTGATGTACCTTTGTGCTAATGTCTTTCTCTAAGAAATTGTGAGATTAGGGACATCTTAAGTGTACCATTGACTTTTACTGCAGTCTGGAAGAAGAGATGGAACAGATTTTATTGGGGATTTGCCCTGTGCTAGAGATGTTGCCAGCCATTGGATTTTTAGGAGAGTCCGAACAAAGGAATAGTAAGTGTATAGCAGTGGCTTTTCATCATGTACCTGCTCTGTTCTCTCTGCAGAGTCCCTTATTTCAGCAATTCAAGGTGATATTGAGGAAGCTAAGAAACGACTAGATTTGCCAGAACATTTGAAATTCAAAGAAGACAATTTCTTCCAGGTTCCCAAAAACAAAATATTGAACGGCCACTGATAAAGACAGATCATTCTTATTTATTCATTCACTGTTTTCTAGTATTTTACTGCTCATAACTCCTCAGTTAAATTTTGAAAATCAAACATTTTCCTACAGCTGCAAATTAGTTTAAACAGTATAATATCTATCACATTATACTTCAACCATTCAAATTAAACTCATCATGCTATATAGTACTAAGTGATTCATTTTAAAAATCAAGATTCTTTTTTATGTAATATGTTGATTAGGATGTACCACTAGAAAGGTCTTAAGTGTCTTATAATGGAAATGAAATGTATATAAGTATGGGTAAAAAGGTAGTTCACTAGATTTGAGATGAGAACTAATAATTCTCATGGTACATCGTAGCATGTATGTACTTGTATAGTGTGTCATGCTGAATGGAGGAGGCATATAAAAGTAAATATATTCAACGAAGTTTTGAGAGTTGATTATAAACCTAAGGGGGAAAATCTAGACTTTATATTTTTGATATTTTGTGCATTAGTATATTATCACAAAAGTAGATGTGTGAAGTTTTTCGTATGAAATTTCATAGTTTGTCATTTTCTTTGAAGTCAAATCATTGCACTGTGTTTTTTCTTTTTCTTTTTCTTTTTTTTTTACAGGTGTCTCAGTTCTAATTGGTCTAGACTCCTTTGTCATTTTTTGTTTACCTCCTGAAGTAGTGAAATGAGTGTTTTTCTAATTTCTAGGTCTCATTTTTGTATTGGATAACACTTCTCTTTTTAAGAGTAGATGTTCAACATTACTCTTGACTTTGGTTCTTTTTTCCTTGAAACCGTTGTCCATGTCAGCTTTTTTTCTTTCTCATTTACAATTGTTCACTTAGACAAAAGATTGCATCTATATCTATCATTCCATCCCTTCACTATATAAAGTGATTAAGTGCATATCCATATTGCATTTTAGGAAAAATATCACCAAAACTTCATCTTTAGGTTTCCTCAAGTTGAACACACAGCAGTTCATGTGTATATACCAGCTTCTTAACATGAAACATTTGTTTTCCCTCTAGGGAGCCCATTTAAGAGCCAATTAAATTATGAAAGTTATTTATTTTTAATGTAATTATATATTCCTGAGCAAGTGTAAACTGTTGTAGCTGTGTACGCACAATGTAATTTAATGCTAAACAGTGCTTATAGCTTGGGGGAAAGGCATAAGTAATAAAGTTTTAGTTAAATAATCCTCATACTATGCATTTTTTTTTCCTCCTAAGAAGTAATTTTTGGCTACTTGAGACTCTTATTTATATTGGCGGAAAGTTGAAATCTTTAGATATTTAAGAAATTAAGATTACAGATTGTTTGAGCCCCCTGAAAGAATATATTGCATTATTGTTCACTTAAGCACCAGATTTGGTGTGGGGGAAAAGGAGCAGAAGTATAGAGAAGGTAATTTTAAAGGTAACTTATTACAAATCATTTTCCCAAATCTGCATATATAAAGGATTTTAACAAAAATACAAAGTATTTAGAAAAACACCTAAAACATCTGGAGAAAGGGGAAGCATGGATAAATTTAGTTGGATTGTGTTTTACTTTTTGGTATATGAATTTATGGCAAACAATGTATGTGTCTTTCTTTTATAAAACTTAGAAAATGTAATTTAATGTTAGAGATCCTATACTTGAAAGAAGCCTCAATTATTAGTGGCTTTATAAAGCAAAGATAAAAACAGTCAAGGAAAGTGTAAAAACAGATTTGTATTTGTTTGCATAGCCTGCTGCTAATTATGTCCTCATTAAGTGTGTGAAGTCTTTGATATTGTCACCTTACAATTTGAAAATTGTATATTGTGAGGTTTAAGAGTTGGTTAATAGTGTCTACACTTCTCAAAGTTTTATATTAAGTATGTAATATAAGAAATTATAGTAGTACCATTTTTGATTAACCTGATTTCAGGCCTTGAAATAAATCTTATGTAAGTGATGTTTCTTTCCCTGTGTCAGTTTGAATCTTTTGCCTTGTCTGTACATAGGTTCCTCATTTGTTGGCTGTCACTTGATGATGACAAGTGGCTTGAATGGCGAGTTGTAGGTGGCAGCTGGAGGGAGAACCTGACATGCAGTGGTAGTTCTACAGCCAAGGGCCTTGCTTTGACAAGTCCCTGTTTATGCCTGCAGCACAAGTTTATTTGGAGAGCATTGTTTTTGTTTTTTTAATATTTTATTTATTTATTTACTTATTTAGAGAGCACAGGCTGGGGGAGGGGCAAAAAGAAAATCTCAGGCCGACTCCCACACTGATCCTGGACTTGATCCAGGGCTTGATCCCACGACCTTGATCAAGACCTGAGCTGAAATCAAGAGTCAGATGCTTAACCAGCTGAGCCACCCAGGGCTCCTAGAAAGCATTCTATTCATGGAGTGTCAGTTCTCAAAAGCCTACTTTCTGGAGGTGAGGGTCCCCATTATATTTTAGTCGTAAGAGCCAGAGGAGTATGAGTAGTCTGAGTTCTCTTCCCTAACTCCTTTTTCAGAACAGGGTTCTTCAGTCTTCATGACTAGCAGTCGCTTGGAACTCCTGCTTGTGTCTCATGTTTGCAGGGACATACGGGTGTGCTTTCAACACTCCAGCACTCTCAACAAGGGGGGTTTACACGTTTGCAGCTGAGGCTGCTCTTCTAACAGTTGTGATGCGATCAGGGAGACATAAGCCGGGAGCTTCCTTGGAATTTACCAGCACAGTTTTGCCTTCCTGGTAAAAGTGCCAGCCTTTTCTGCCCACACCCCCCACCCTGACTTGGGAAGTGGGTGTGAGGCTGACCAAGGAGATCCAACCCGACCTTCAGAGACTGAGCTGGGAAGTAAATGTGCCCTGTAGAGAGATGCCATCAGAAGTGAGAGGAGAAACAAATTCTAGAACAAACTCTTCAAAGATGACACACTGGGATTATCAGAATTTGAAATGATTTTAATATGTGTAAAGAAGTGAGTTAAAAACAGTAAAATAAGAGTCTATAAAAATTGGGCAGAGGTGTGGTAGGTGGGGGATGGGAGAAACATAAAGAGGACTAAAGTACAAACTTTTAAGTTGTAAAATAAGTCATAGATGAAAAGTAGAGCACAAGGAGTGTAAATGTATGCTGACAGATGGTGACTACATTTGTTATGAGCACTAGTAACTTGCAAAATTGTTGAATCGATATGTTGCACACCTGAAATGAATATAACCCTGTATATTATATTTAAATTTTAAAAATATTATAGCTTTATTAGGGTATAATTGATATAATAAACTGCACTTATTTAAGTTGTGCAACTTGACAAGTTGATACATGGATACATGCCTATAAAATCAAGGTCGGGATAATATCACACACACACACCCCCCCCCAACTGGGGAGGGTAAGCATGAATTTAAAGTGGTACTGGTATCTTCAAATCTGGAATGTCCGGTGAATTTAAATGTTTACTGTTTTAGTTGGAGGTGTAGATAATGACACGATGGCCAACACTGGATGGGATGTTAATTTTTTTCTGCGTCCCCCCCCTCCTTGAATTCATATGTTGGAAGTCTTAACACCCAAGTATTAGCAGATGGGACCTCTGGTGGGGGGTGGAGCTGTCATGATTCGGGTTGCCCTTATAAAAGGTGACCCCAGAGAACTTGGGTTCTTCTACCCCGTGAGGATACAAGGAGAAGTCAGCAGTCTGCAACCCAGGAAGCATCTCACCAGAACTTGATGTGCTGGCTTGGCCTTTCAGCCTCCAGAACTGTGAGGCGTAAGCTGCTATCCTCTATAAGTCACCAGTAGGTAGTTTTTATAACAGCCTGAACAGAGGAACCTTGATGGAAGCTTAACATCGATGGCCTTCTCTTTCCCTGCTCTCCTCTGCTTTCTTCCCTGTCTCCTCCCCTCCCCTCCTTTATCTCCCCCTCCATTTTCTCTAGTGGAAACAGGTGTGAGCCACTAGGTTGGGAGTGAAGAAGGTACGAAGGCATCATCTGTAAAATATTTGTATTTTTTTGCTTTGGAACTAGATTTGAGATGGCAAATTGCCTTCCTCCAGGAGGCAAGTCTTAATCGAGTGTGTTACAATCAATGCTCTAAACCAGTACTAGTTGCCTGGGTTACCCAGGACAGGGGGGGAGCAGAGCTGCTGAAGGGTGTGGGGAAGAGGTGGGTGCCAGTTCTTGCGCAGGGTCTCCAGTGCTCACTCCTACTGTCTGTAGTAGAGCCTCCTCTTTGGAAGCACTTAGGTGGTGGGCAAGCGTGGCCAAAAGGCAGATAGAAAAGGCAAAAGTACCCATAAATTGCCCAAGTCTGGATTTTTTGAAACTCAAACCTGAAAGTTTAATTTTTTTATGTTTCTTTGCATTTCAGCCAGGGCCTCCTGGGACAGTAGAAGCCTGGGTTGCATTTGAACAGGCAAGGATAACGAAATGAATAAAAGAATCTTCCTATTCTTTCTCATGCTCTTGTCCAGTGAGTCTGTCATAGAGTTGAATTCTCCTAAGTGAAATCCAAATATTATGTAACTGCATTGTATGATCCTCCGTATTTCCCACAGCAGACCTAAGCCTCCTATGTTACCGCTTAGGGATCTAACTCAGAATCAGGGCCAAAACACAGGTGGTTCATGGAGGACCGTGCCACTGCTGCTGAGCGAGTATGCCCCAACTTCTCACCAAGCCCCCGCAGAGACACGTTTTCAGCATAGCTGGCCCTGTTGTCCCAAAACTAATCTTTGGATGATTTTTTTTTGACAAAATTTTTTAAAGTTTAAGTTTAATCTTTATACATGGGGTGCCTGGGTGGCTCTGCCAAGTAAACTCTACACCCAGTAGAGTGGTCCCAACACCCTGAGATGGAGCTGCGTGTTCTTCCTACAGCCAGCCCGGCCCCCAGGTTTTCTATGATGAACATTTGATTGGCTGAGCTTCGGTCATGTGCCTATGTGTTAGCAGCAAGCGGTGGGCTGGGAAACCGAGTACCCATTTCAGCTTCTGTAGAGAGAGAGACTCTCATCCACCAAGACTTATGCAGTAGGAAATAAACGTAACAAGGTGATCTAATACTGGACTCTAAGAAAAAAAAGTCTTCACTTGAATTATGTAACTCTGAAGGAAATGATTTGAGTACCTGCTGTCCATCTGCTCTTGCATCCATTCCCAAAGCATTCCTTACATTAAGTAGGCATGTTCCAGAGAGACTCATAAGACCTTTTCCTTTTTTTTTTTTAAGATTTTATTTATATAGAAAGAGACCAGGGGGAGGGGCAGAGGGAGAGAGAGAGACTGAGCAGGAGGCCCAATGGGGGTTGGGGGTCTTGATTCCATGACCCCAAGATCATGACTTGAGCTGAAATCAGAGTTGGATACCTAACTGCGCCACCCAGGTGCCACTAGAACCTTTTGTTTTATCTAAAGAAAAAATATATATATACTCCATAGTGTTTCCCTTTTTATTTTGATTTGCAGGGAGCACAGGGCTACTGTTCAATCTCAGTAGCAATAATCATACAGAGCTCTGATTTTCAAAGTATGGGTGGAAGAGCCCTAGAGCTTCCTGGAGGGCACCACAGGCTGGGCAAACCAGAGGGTCTCCGCCCTGCGCCAAACTGCTTTAGGGTAGTACTCTAACCTTTACATCTGTGGTTTCTACTGAAGACTACATTTGATTAAAGGCTTCCGTGGCTAAGAGATACTTAAACTTCTACTCGGATGGATCCACCCACATCCCTCCTCCTCCCTCAAGGCTCATTCCGTGTCAACAATTTCATTTTGTACACATACTAGATGACGCTGGTAAGCACTCCTCTGGAAGCAGGTGGATATAAGTCCTAGAAGACACTCCATCTGGGGCATTGAGAAGATTCCCTGGTGTGGCTGCTGCTTGGGTTTCTGTAAACAAATACCTGCTGCTAACTGAATCACTCCTGGGACGTCCAAGTTCATCTCAGGGTCCCTTCAGGCTTCTGAGAATTCAAAACATTTTCTCCGGCTGCCCAGAGCCTTGTTTTGCTTGCAGATTTGCTGGAATTTCGAGCTTATTAAAGGCCCCCTAACCAGTAGGAAATTTCTGTCAAATGGAGTTTTTTGTTTTGTTTTCAAATCTCCCCCAAACCCCACAAAACCTAATACTAATCATTCTGAGATTTCCACCGTATTTCAAAACGAGGACTTTCCCGGCCCATAGCCTGACAAATTGGACCCATTCTCTACTGTTTCTCATTGAATTCGTTTGAGTACTTCTTTCGATGTTTTAGAAGGTGGAAGCAAGTGTTATCTTGGATTCCCTGCCCTTTATGAAGGTTTCTTCATTCCTTTTTATAGTCTTGCCAAAGAATGGATAATATGAAATATCTGTTACTGCCATGTTCACTACACTATGGATATCACGGTTTTTGTGAGAGTTTTAAATGTGAAACATAAGTAGGTGCACAGTGAACATTTAAAAGAACAGGTCCCCATGTTTCACCATAGAGTCAAGATGTGAGTGGCTCAGTTCCATCTACTGACCAGAAGTAAACTTTAGCTGTTGTAGCAACAGGAGCTCCAATGTGCTTTTCCTTATATGACTCCATGGCTCTTCATGATAAATCTGGGCTGTCTGGCTAGAGAGTATTGTCACCCCACTTCAGATGAAGAAATGGAAAGATAAACTCAGTCCAACTCAAACTGTAGGAAGAAAATTTCAGACACATGCATGTTGAAGCCCAACCTATTTCAAGAGGGAAACAGTTTTCGCTGACTGAGTCTTAGCTGCCTGGCCCTACAGGAGTTGTGTACAGGGGACCCTGGGAACTGGGAATGATCCCCGGGTCCACTGGCTCAATGGCGTTGGCACAAAATGGCAGCCTACTCTTTGCTTGGCCCTTGATTCTGCAGGTGAAATTGCTTCAGGCACAGGATAGTTAGCAAAGCTGAGATCAGATTTTTAGTTGAGACAGCAAAAAGGCAGAAAATTCATAAACACTTAAGCA